GTTAGCTGCTCCATGAACATGATGTTGTGTTTGCTAATACTATATCGATTTGCTTTAAACCATTTTGTTCCCATGATTTCTTGTATTGTGTGACATTGTTTCTTTTCTATCATCTTGATCAAACTGTTTTGGTTATTCTCTCTTATTGTAATCTTTTGATTCCACAATAACTGTAGGACTTGTCCTATAAAGTTTTTCTTGCTGTTAGGAATTTGGTTTGGGTTTTTGAGAATGTTTTCTATGGTCCATGCCTGATTTTGTAGGTGTTGTAGTTTTCCTCTTGCAATTTTCCTACATATGTTTTGTTTGTTAAGGTTTTGTATTATGTGTTTTGTTTATAATTGAACTTGTCTTTCTTGTGTACTGAATATCTTGTATCCGAAGTCTGCATGTATCCCACTGTTGATGGCTGTTACTGGAAGTTTGTTTTTATGTTTGAAACTGGCTTTTATTATGCTGTCGATCTTGTTGCATGTATGTTTTGCTATGACCATATCTTGCATAAGGTATTTTATAGTTGAAAAAAGTACGTGATTGATAATATATCTATATTGCTTATCTATGATTTGGCTTCTATTGAGTGCTGATGTGACATTCTGCACTTTCTTTTTGGCCAGTTGCAATTGGTAAGCTTTGTTGCCTGTTGCCGTGATCCACACTTCCAGAATTCGTATGGCTTCTTTCTTTCCTTTGGGATATACTTTGAGCCTGCTCGCTTTTTCAGTTGTTGGGTTTATTGTAATCAGGGCTGCTTTGTCTGGATTGATCCTGAGGTTGGCAATTTTTGCGAAGCTTTCTGTTATTCTCGTGATTTTTTTTATGTTTCTTCTATTGTTAGTGATCCAGCATGTATTATCCATGTAGGTGACTGATGCTATTCTAATGTTGCTTGTTTCCCATTTTCCTTGTTTTCTAGATGGCTTTTGAATTTCAAAATTGTAACCCAGTTTTGTTGTTTCAATTCTGTGAATGAGTGGATCATAGTATATTCTCCAGAGGAGTGGTGAGATAGTGTCGCCCTGGTCAATTCCTATTGTAGGATTGATGGGGTTGGTTAGCCCATGGCATGTAATGACTTGGTTGTTGCGGTTCTTTAGGAGGTTCATAATTATGTTTATAATTATGCTTGGGACTTTGATTCTGTCGAGTGCTTTCTTGAGTAGGTCATGTTTCATTGAGTTATATGCCTTGCTTATGTCTTGGCTCATTAGCCAGCATTCTTTTCCTCTTTCCCTTGCTTCCTCTAGTATGTTATTGATTATACTGATTGGCTCTTGTGTTCCCCCGCCTGGGAGACCCGCCCAGTTTCTTCCTAGCAGAATGTTGTGTTTTGTAAGTACCCGTGCTAGTCTGTTGTTAATGATTTTAGTGAACACCTTCTTGATTGTTTCTAAGAGTGTGATGGGTCTGGTTTGGTCGAGTTGGTGTTGTCAGTTTGTTCTTTTTGGAATCGGGTATATGATGTTTTGTTGCCACCGTTGTGATATTTCCCCTGTGAGTAGTATTGTGTTGAACAACTTGGTGATTCTGTCGAGGGCTTCTTTCCCCAGGTTTTTGAGCATCAGATAGCTGATCCCTGATTTGCCTGATGTGGAATCATTGGACATGTTCTTGATTACCTTTGTAACTTCATCTACTTCGATTATTGATGTTGTTGTATAGTACCATGTTGTTTGAATGTCTTCTCTTGGTTGATATTCATGTGACCATATTGTCCAATCTTGTTGTTCTGTTTCTCTTTCTACTGGCCTATGTTGTTAAAAATGTGCTTCAACCTCTTTAAGAATTTCCTGTGGTTCTGTTATGGCTTGGGGTTCCGGCTCTTTGGTTATAAGTTTGTTCATTATAATGTTGTTTCTTGGTTTGCCTAAAATTGAGTTTATCATTTTGCGTTTGTTATCTGAAAAGTTTGAAATTCTGTTTTCGATGTGTTTCTATATTTGTGTTGATTTGGTCTTTCGGTCCTCTTCTTCCAATGTTTGTTTGGTTATTCTGTAGGTTTGTTTGATTTTTTTCATCCAGATTGTGATCTTGACACTTTTGACATTTGTTTCTTTCCAGGGAGGAAGTTCGATGGCATGGGTTTTTTTGTTGATTTCGCTGATTATATTTATGATGTTGTCTTTGGTGTCTGTTATTCTTCTTCCCAGGATGAAGTAACACCTGGATCATGTGTTCAGTTTTCTCAATTTAGTGATTTGTGTATGCTTGTTGTGGATGTAATAAATGTTTTGTGGCTTTTTGTTGTTGTACCTATTTTTCTTGATGTGCTGATGTGCTGCTTTGTATATGGCTTCCCATGTTAGATTCCATATTCGATCTGGTAATTGTTCTTCTGTTTTGTGTCTGTTGTTTTGTTTTCTAATTATGTTTTCGATTTGTTGTCTGTATTTCTCCCATTGTTTCGGTTTTGTGTTTTTGATATCAAATGTGATATTTGGTTTGTGTACATGGTTAAGGAGCTTTCTGTTTGTGATTTCGGTCACCTCAATGATACATGTGGCTATGTCATGGTTGCTGTTTGTGAGCATGTTTAATGACTCTATATTTGCATCGATCAGATTCCAATCCTCCTTGGGTGACATTCATATGTAGTCGATTCGCATGCGTGTTGTGTGCATGTTTGTCCAAGTGAATCAAGATCTATCTGGCCATGTTTCTCTGAAGGTATCTATATGATTGAGTTGAATAAGTGTTTGTAGTGTATGTGATGTTGGTTTTGAGTTGCTGCCTGATGGTTTCTTGTCTTTTTTTGGATTGTGTAAGGCATTGAAGTCTCCTGCTGTTATGATGTGCCAGTTTTTGTTGTGCCTATTCCATATCTTGTCTTGCATCCATTTACCTACTTGGAAGTGTTCTGGATTGCCCTTTCCGGGCATGTATATACCAATAATACTGATATGTTTGTTTTCTTTGAAGCTTAGGTCGATGCAGATGCTTCTGCCTGGATATGTTGTGATGTTGGTTATGTGATTTGCGATGTTATTCCTGATCATCATCATTATGCTGCCTCCTTTGCGTTCGTTGCACCAAGTGGTGTGATATCCTTGCATTTTCCAGTATTTGGATTCTTCTGTGGTAATTTGTGTCTCCGTGATTATTCCGATGTTAATGTTTTCCTCTATACAGTATGTCAACCAGGTTACTCTTTTGGTTGTGTTGTTGAATCCCCTTACGTTATGTGTTGCTATTCTCCATGTCTCCCATGTCTTTCCCTCTGTTGAAGGAAGTGATGTTGTATTGCTTTGGGTGTTTAAGTATGGTATGATTTGTTGTTATGCATATGGTTGGTATAGTGTTTGTTGTTGTGCTTTTTTGTTGATTGATTGAGGTTGTTGTGTATGTGCTTCGGTTTCTATTGTGGTGTTGTGGTTGTTGTTGTCAGTGTATAGCATTGGTATGTGTGTATCTTTGTTTGAGTGTGTGTCTTCCTCTGGATAATTGTCTAGTGAGTTGTAGAGATTTGATAAGTTGTCTGTGATGTCTTACGCACTGATATTTGTGCTTTGGTTGTTTCCCATTAATAACGATTGGTTAGGATGTTTGTGTCTCCAGGGATTAGATTGTGGATGGCGCCCATTAGGTTGTTCATTGTTTGATTCGTGTTTTCGATGGTTGTATGAATCTGTTTTTGTCTTGCCTGCAGGTCTTGGATTTTGTCACTATTTGCAGATCTGTTTTCTTGATTGTTTTCTAGGGGAGTATTGTTTTTTTGAGAATTTGAGGTGGATTCTGTTTCTTCCATGGCTTCTACTACATCCTTGTCATAATATTCCAAGTTTGTAATTCTCTCGTCCATTTCGATCATTTGTTGTTTTACTTCTGTTATGTCTTGTTGTAGTTTCTTAAGGATGTTGAAAATTTCTTGTAGGTTGGTAGGTGCAGTTACGTCGTTCTGTATATTCATTGGTGTTTTGATCGCCATAGCATATGAACCAAGTTTTGCTCTTCTATATTGTTGTTGCATTGGAATGTGTTTTCTGATCTCGTTTGTTTTGGCTGGTCTATATTTTTCGTATAGTCGTCCGAATTTTGTTACTTGTTCTTGGTTGTATGTTTGCCAATGATTTCTTCTCTCTTTGATGGGGCACGTGGCTGCAAAATGTGTGTCATTGTCGCAGATTGCACATAGTTTGGCTTCTATCAGTGTCCATTTTAGGAGTGTTTCACCGATTGAATATGTTTCTGTTGTGGCTTTCTGAAGATCTTTTTCTGTTTTGAAGCTAATAACAGTAAATCTTTTTCTTTGATATGTTCCTCTACATGGAATGTAGCATGTTTTTGCCTTAACCAATTGTAGTATGTTACGTAGATCAAATGCTGTTGTATTGGGTGGGAGATCTGTAAGCTTTGCTGCTGTCTGTCTCTTTTGTTTCATTTGTGACAGGTTCCATTGTGCATCAAAGACCCGGATCATGTCTGCTTTGAATGGAACACTCCACATGTCTGTTATCCGATCTTTGCTGGTCTTGTCCATATAGGTGATTGTTGCTGTTTGCCACATTTGTTGTGTGCTCATGGCTATCCCTATGATTTGTCCATATTTGGCAAATGCTTGTTGTACCTCTATATATTTGGCGTCCAGGAGGATATCCCATACTCTAATACTGTTTTCTTTTTTGGTGTTTGGATCGATCATTGGCATGTGTTGCAAATGCTTGTCTTCCAAATCTGGAAGTTTGATAGTACATGCGTGTTCTGTTGCTTAGCAATTACCGAAAATGGCTATGATCTGCTCTTGGTTGTTCTTTCCTTCACTGCGGATTGCAAGAAGCCCTTCTGGATATTCAAGTGCCTTGGTGAGATATTGGATTTTCTGGTTTGTGTTCTTCCCAGGGATTATGGTAGCATTGATGTCAACTTTGCTTCTTTGTCTGCCGTATCTGCTGCTTCTGTTAAAGGGAGAGCGTGGTCTGGGTTTGCTCCACTGGTGAGTTGATTGTTTGCCTTTGCCTTTATTGTATGTTGACCATTCTTCGTTTGTTGTCGATGTCTTCCAGTTGTTGTTTTCTGCTTCTATTTCTTCCATCTCCTCATCTAAGTCATCGATTCTAACATACTCTCTGGTTTCTTGTTGAATTTGTTGCCTTTTCATGGATGTTTCTGCTACTACTCTTTCTACCTCGTCACTCTATAGCTTTTTGTCTCTAGGTTCTTGAGTCGTTTCCTTGGGGTTCTGGATTATTGAGGATGAATCGGTTGTCTCTGGGACTGTTGTTTTAACTGTACTGCTGTTGGTTGCTTCTGTTTTGGCGTTTTTCTGTTGTTGTTTCTTTGCTGGTTTTTGTACTGTATAAGGGGTTGTTTCTTTGCTCTTCCGGCTGACCCTGCCTTTGCTGAGATCGTTGACATTGTAGTTGGGTCTGGAGAAGGTGCCTGAACCTTTGAGTGTCCTTTGCAAACTCATTTTCCTCTTTCTTTAGACAAATTACCAAATATAGTAATTTTGTGCATATAGGAAAGAGGTGTTGAGTTTTGCAATATTTATTGCATAAGGATTTTTCTTTTATTATAGTTTTTAAGAAATGCCCTAGTTGCAATATCAATAGAAATCTTGTTTTATTCTGATACAGTAATAGAAATTTATATAAATAGGGGTCAATACTGGATTTCTGATTCCTCTTTGATTATTTTTGCTAGCTTGTCTATGTAATTATTAAAAGTATCTTTCTATAGACTTTAATTTTTATAAGTTTTAGATACAAACTCTTTTTGATAACTATGTTGGACAATCTTAACTAGAGCTGCCAATTTGGTTGTTTCATTTGTTTTTTTAATGTACTTTTAGAATATGACTTGCTTATAATAGAGAAAATGTCTATATAGGAGGAGCTGTCTGTTCTTATTTTGATTATACTATCATTTGAAACTAATAGGATTGCCAAAAGTATTATTACTAATTTTGCTTTAGTTGATGAAAGCCAGTTGTCTATTGCTATTTGGAATAATTTTTCTGAATTTAAACACTTAGTTTGAATCCATACTGTATTCATTCTTAAAGACTAGTCTTGTGCTTATTTTAACAATCTGTCAATATAAAATTAATATAAACCTGAATAGTTTTGATTTCTATTTAGGTGGTATACTTTATATAACAAAATTTTAATATAGATATATTCTGAGAATATGTTTTTTCTTTTTTGTTTTTAGCCAAATTTTCTAATATATAGACTTCTATTGGAATAACAGTTTCTTGTTTCACTGATATTTTTTAATATTATTAATCCAGATGAATATAAGAATATAGTTTTTTCTAGTGCTTTTGTGTTCTAAAAGTATCTTGTTAAATTCAGTTGCTCCTGAAAATATGCTGTTCTATTATCCTACTGATAAATACTGATATGCTTTTGCTTTTGGTCTAGTAAAGCTCTTTGTTAGTATTATTTATACTTACTTGCCAATTTCACTTTTTTGGACCAATTGGTTTATCTGCTGTTAAAAGTATTTTGTCTTGTAATATTCAATCATATTTTGTCCAGTTCAACTTTAACACTTCAAATTTATTTGTCAATATTTGCTTTATTAGTTGATACTATTTTGAGTTTGTTTTTATCTATAACTTTGGAATTCTTATATCAGTTTTCAATTAAAGAGTATTGGATTCTTTGTCTATAAGCTGATCTGCAAACATAATATTGTATTTCTTTAATAAAAACATTGCTTTGTTATATACAGTATTCTAAGATTATTTAACAAAGTTTTGATTGTAATATGTCTTTCTTTTTATTGAAATACAATTTTCCAATATAAGTTTAAGAATATGATATCTAGCTTGTTGATTATTTTAAATGTTTGAACTGAAAAGTTCTTTTTATATAAGTTGTGTAATGTGTCATTAGCTAACATGTTTGCTGGTTTCCAGTATTTTAATTGTACTTGTTTAAGATATATTAGGATAGATATATCTAGGTGATCCATATTGTTGAGATGGTTAACAAAGTTAATAATTTGGCTTTTTATTGTACTTCTTGAATACTTTTAAGTTTATAGAAAGTCTTATGATGTATAAATAAGTTTGGCATTGCTTCTGTAATTTTGATTACTTGTTTGAATATTTTTTTGATCTGAGCTGAAAGTAGATTGACAATATATAGATTTATTAAACTGTATTATATCCTATATTCAATTTTGGAAATAAGAACTCTGTTGATTATATATTTTGTATATTTGTCTGTGATCAACTTTCTTTTCAAATTTGGTAAAACTATATAAATCTTTTATCAAATTCTATTAATCATGTCTTTGATCTGGTCTTTGTTACTTAGCCAAATATTCAAAAAACTCAAATGGCATTTGCGATCTAGTTCTTTGACTTCTTCTTGATTAATTCCAATGTAATCTTTGTTAAGTTCTTTGTTTGAACTGTTAATTATAATCAATATTGATTTGTTTCCATTAATTTGAAAGTTTTTTGTTATATAAAACCCTTTGTTTTTTTTAGGATATAATTCATATCCATATGAAATCTGACTATTTATGTGATATTATCCATATATGCTATAACTGCTTGTTTTATTAATAGTTTTCTTAAAATTTTTAGATTGTTTATTGGTTTATTAAAGTTAATTATCCATAAGCAACTTATTATATAGCCTAGACTTTAATTTTCTTGGATTTTACAAAGGAGGAAATCATAAAAGATTCTTCAAAAAAGAGATGAAATTGTCTTTCTTTGATTAATTCTGTTACTTGCAATTATTTCTTTGATAAAACTCATATTTATAATTATTTTAATTGTTCTTTGTATAAAGAAGTCTAATAAGAGCTTGATAATTTTGTTTGAAACTATAATTCTTTGAAGTGTCTTTTTTAATATTTCTAAACTAACTGTATTATATGCTTTTGTTATATCTTGAAAGAGAATCCAAAATTTTTTGTTCTCCTCTCTAACTTCTTTACAGATGTTGTTTAACAAGTAAATTAGTTCTGATATACTTTCTCTTGGAAGTTTGCAAAGTTGGATTTCTTAAGTATCTTTTGTTTTTTGCAAATCAGTATTAGGCAGTTGTTGAGAATTTTGATAAAAGCATTACATATTGCATTAAGAATAATTATCAGTCTGGTATTGTTGAGCTTTTTTTTCTATTCCTTTCCTTTGAAGATTGGATATAGAAGGCTGTTATTTCAAGTTTTTAATATTGTTCCAAAATTGAAAAACAGGTTAAAAAGACTTAAGAGAGTTTTTTTTTGCTATAAAACTTAGTTTTTTTAAGCATTTTATATTTTATTTTGAATGAACCTGCTGCCTTATTATTGGATAGATCAAAAAGAACTTTTTTCAGTTTATTTGACTGAATTTTTTCTTCCATTATATTGTATTATTTCTCTTAAATTTTGAATTTGTACTTGTATTGTTTCTTCCATTGACTATCCAAGAGATCAAAATTATTATTATACTTGTGAAATGTTTGTTGATAATAGAGTTCTGTTTGATTCAAGATTTTTTTCTTATTTATACTAAGATATTTTCAGTTATTTTCATTAATGATCTTGATTCTATTAATTGTAATCTTGTTTCTGAAGTTGTTAGTTAGTGTTTGAACTATTCTTTTTTGATTAATTTTTAGATCTTTCTTATTATATATATATTTTCTTCAAAACTATTTTAAGGATTTGTATTTGTTTAATAATATATATTGTGTTCTTGTTAAATATGCTTGCATTAAGACTTTATAATTTTGTAAGGGCTTGTGAATTGTTTAACAATGTTTCTGAGACTCTATATATCTATCTGTTAAGTTGATATATTAGAAGAGAAGATAATTATATCAGTGTTTTTTTCTTTAGTTTCTTTTGAATCTTGTGCAGGTTTTTATATATTCTAAGTTCTTTTTCTTGGAATTTTGAGTTTTATTATTTGTGTTTATATATTCTCTGGAGCCTTTTTTTTACAATAAAGGTTATTAAATATTGTAGCAATTAGTATTTTTTCAAAGTCTTTCCAAAGCTTTTGAATTTGCAAAGCATGCTTTGGATTGTTTGTTTGTTAATGTGTTGCTATTTTTTTCTAAAGTTTAACTTTTTGAATTTTGTTTTTATATTTGTTTCATTGCTTAGTTGTGATTTACTGATATTAATTATTTTTTTGTATTGGTGCTTGACTTTGATAAATTGGATTGAAGGAGTATAAAGAAGTGTATCTTTGATTATTTTAAAGTTCAATAAGATATATTTATTATTTGTTATTTCAGTAAAGCTATAATTTTGCAATTGAATAATGTTGTTTGCTATTGTAACTAAGCATCAAATATAGTTTATTTTACTTGAACTCATATTGTTTTTTCAAGTGTAAGAAGGTTTTGAATTTTCTTAGAATTGATATAAGTCTACAAGGTTTCTATTTAAAAGGTAATTAAATATTGAAACTTTTGAGTCTTCTGAAAAAGAAAAGTTGTTATTTGCTTTAGCACTTATACAATTTTGTTTAGGGTTTAATATAGTATTGAAATCTTTCATTATAATAATTTAATAGTATTGTAGAATTTTGTTTTGTATTATACAATAGCTTGTATCTTTTTCTGAATATCAATACTCTTCTGTTTGTTACAAAAAAGATATATTTAAGCTATTTATGTTTTGTGTTTTTTGCTGAAGAAATTTATTGTTACCAGGTGTTCTTCTATCTTATCCACTTGTACAATGTATTTCTTCAGATTTATATATACTAGCAATAGTATTTCTGCTCCTCTTGAATTGTTTGAACAAGAATTGGAAAAAATATTTGTATTTGTCTTTGTTATTACTAAATACAAATGCTTGATTATTAATGGTAAGTTTTGTTTTGCTTAATCCAAGAATATTGATTTTTTTGTCCTATATCTCTTGTATTAGCATTTCTTGATCTATGGTTTATGTAATGTTTTTGGTATTATATGTTCCCAAGTGTATGGTGTTATTTATAAATAACTTCTTTTGTTTTATAAGGAAAGTATTGATTTCATTACTGGTTAGGGGATTAGTCATATCTTTGGGGTAGTCTAAAATTATAGTTATTTGTAATATATATTATGTGATGATTATGTACTGGAAAGGAAGTTCGTAATGAATAATTTTTTTTTCCAGTATTTGTTATGGATTTAATCAAAATATCTTTAGGAAGAATAGTGAAAGCTCTTGTTATTATTTTTTTATTCTCTAGTTTTGTTAATCTTAAATTAATTGTATCTAATATAATAAGAACCTTTGACCATAGGTTTGTTTTAATTAATATTTCCCCTTATGCT